CAAAATATGGCTTGTGCCAAAATCTAGCGTAGCAAAAAAAATGTTTAGATGATAACCAAGCTAAATTCTTGATTTTTTCCTTCAAGTAAATATGGTTATGTGGAATCTTGTTTTGTAGATAAATTCTTAATAAATATTATAGTAAAAAGAAATTACAAATTAGACACATGATTAAATAGATATTAGCATTTGAAGTTTGATTATCAACTCGGTACATGCAAAAACAAAATATAGCAATAAGAAAGAGCCTCCATACATACAAGAGTGCCGGTGGACGAGTGGTCCACACATGCCCGTAAAAGACGATCCCCAAATGCCGGAAAAGGCAAATCACTCTCTACTACCGCTAAAGCGGTATTTTTAGAGTGAGATTCTCTGCATTGATTGTGTGAAGCGATTCTCTAAAATAAACTAAGAGGCTAAGAGCTAAAAAAAAAAAAGTAGCTTCTTCTAATTACGTGAAATAAACTAAGAGGCTAAGGCTAAGAGTTTATGCTAAAGAATAAAAAAATCATTTGTAACCTTATTATCACTCCATAGAAGAACAACGAGGAGCGATCTGACTCTGCTGAAAACGAACAGAAGAACCGGAAGACCCGTGGAGAAGATGAAGTAGGCGGCGTATTTATAGAGGCTTTACTGCATGGTGAGGCGGTTTAAACAACCCGCCACGGTAAATACTATTAACCGCATGGGCGGGCAATTTATCTTGCGCCGCCGCATGGTAAATATAAATTTCTGCGGCGGTCGATTAATGTGGCCCCCAGCGGTTAATCTTATTATGGCGGGCGGCCATTCATCTGCGCCGCCATGCAGTAAATATCAATTTCTGCGGCGGGCAAGTAAGGTGGCCGCGCATGAAACCTTTTTCCAAAGCAGGCGCCTCGGTGGCCGGCCTCGGTGGCCGGCCACCGGTTAACCGTGGCGGGCAAAAGTGGTGCCCGCCACGGAGCCCATTTTGGCCACGCTGCGCAAATTGATTCGTGTAGTAGTGCCCTTTGAGAAATAGAACAAAAAATGAGTAAGAAAACTTCACAAAGCTTGGAAGACAAGCTGCGAATACATGTACTTAATGTTAAAGTATATTATTAGGTTTGTTGTTCCTCACTTTTACCCATCTTCTTTCTTTTCATACTCTCACTTTTCTCGTTTACATCAACGACAAATGTATACCTACGACAGGAATCCGAGACATAGGTCGAGCATCGGTCCATCGTCCCTCACCCAATCCTATTTTTCGTCGATTGGTCCATTGTTCGTCGCTCCCACCGTTCTTGCCTTCACAGATTTTTCTTTAGAAATTCTTGCCTTCACAGATGGCAGACATAGATGGGGGACCCTAGCCACCGACCCGGGCAGCAGTTTCCGGACGCCGACCCCCCACCCCCACCCCCACCCCCCACATTATTTTTTCTACCAAGCAATATTGGGCCGCGCGCAGCAAACTGAATTTGAACTTACGTGATGATCAGGCCCGCGTAACGCGCAGCCAACCAGACAGCATGCAGGAAATCCAAATTTGCTGACATCAACATATATCCTATACTTTTGAAGTAGAAAAAAAATATATAGCTCCTAAACCTATCTTAACTAAAATCCGATTGCACCATCGTGTTCCTTGTAATAAACTCTTCAAAACAAGACCCCACATGGATACAATTCGATAATTTTTTACGAACATTTATCTCATGATGAACCTATATTTAAAGATCATCGTCGAACATCACATTAACATTACACAAATATCGCAGAAAATAACATGGAACATTATATGTATACTACGCGAACATCATATATATCATGAAATGTAAAAAATTAAAAAAATACAAAATAAATTAGTGAAGTAATTAATTATAGTTAAATAAAAAAATGCTACCAAACATCGCAAATATATCGTAGAACATCACACTAAGACTAACAAACATCGCTACATATAGCATAGAACATCATATATATACTACGCGAACATTAAAAATACATCGTAGAACATCACATTAAGATTACACAAACATCGCTAAATATAGCATAGAATATTATATGTATACTACGCAAACATCATAAATACATCGTAGAACATCACATTAACACTAAACAAACATCGCTAAATGTATCATAGAACATCATATGTATACTACACGAACATCGCAAATATCATGAAAATATAAAATAAAATAATAAAATTAGTTAAGTAATTAATTAGAGTCAAATAAAAAGAAGAAAAATGCTACCGAATATCATAAAATATATCCTAGAACATCAATGTATTCTTACTGAACATCACAAAATACATCGTAGAACATCATATTCCTACTCGTGGACATGAAAAATACATCATAGAACATTACATATATACTACATATTTGTAATAAAAAAGATGAAACATATAAAAAAGAATTTTAAAATGTATAAATATTAAAAAATAAAAAGATAAGAAAACAAAAAGGAAAGAAAAATAAAAAACTAAATAGAAGCAAGGAAAGGAAAAAAAGAAAATAAAAATTAATAGAGTAAAATAAATATAGTAAAGAATAAAGAAAATAAAAAATACAAAAGTACAAAAAAGGAAAATGAAAATAAATGAATGAAAAGAAAGAAAAAAGAAAAGAAAAATATACAATAAAAATGAAAATAGAAAAAGGAAACAAAAGAATAATAAAAGACCAAAAAAAGGAGAAAGGAAAAAAGAAATAGAAGAAAAGAAAGAAAAATAAAAAAGGAATAAAAGATGAAAAGAAAGAAAAATAAAAAAGAAATAGTATAAAGGAATGAAAAAGAAAAACAAAAAGAAATAGAAAAAAAAAACGCAACTAACTGAACCAACCAACGGAATGAATCAATGAATTCGACGGAACGCAGCTCTACCTGCGCTGGGGCGCTCTACCTGGGCTAGCGCTGGGCCGTCACCAGCTGCTGTGGCCCGAAATCGCGACCGTGGAGGGGGTGGGGGTGTGGTCTTCGGTCCGACTGGTTGGCAGCGACGGTTTCCGGACATAGATCCATAACACGAGCCCAAGGATGAAGGCCCAATGAAGGTCGGTGTTGCCATACATACATGGCCGTGTCGTTCACAAATCACAACACGAGTGCAGGGCTCAGGGCCCGGTGAAGGTTGGTATTGCCATACACGGGCGTATAGTCTATTTAATCTATTTACACGCTGTTTAAATGCTACACACAATAACCAGTCGTTTTTGCCTAATCGTCCATTTTCTCGTGTTAACCCTGTTCAAGTGCACAACTTTTTACCGTTATAGCTTCGATGAACATTGACGAAGTTAGAGTGTTTTGTCCTCCAAAACAACGCCAATTACAGAACATTTGCTAGCACCACACTGATCATTTTATAGGGTGGATCGCTACTTGACATGACACACACATGCGTGTATATCGTCTTTCACATTTCTCAATTTTACAATAGATATACACAATATCCGCTCCATTTAAACTGAATTAATCTCCAATTGATTTCCCATTATGCTTGAACCTTCAGACATAGTATAGAATTATCCATCAGGCCCTAACATTTGTGCGGTGTGTTATTATAGAACAATTATTACTTGTCAATGGAATAATAAAGGCAATACCAGCTATACTAGTTGTTTTTTTTATAACTTCGGAAGGAGTTGGAGAGGAGGATACTGAATTTCCAGCCTGGAATAGTGTTTTTCTCTCACACCAAACCAGCCAGCAGTAAATAATCCACGATACGATACGGCCTCCCGAACAGGCCATTAGTGCTTGGTTCAGTGTATTGATGTGTCAAAGAATACATCATCCCATCTGCTATTTGAGCGGTAATACTGTTCTGTTCGCTTAGCTGATAAGTCATGGCTGAAAGTAACGTTGACTAATTTGTTGTAAGAAAAAAATATTGTTCGCACGACGGACATAGTCCCGTCTGCTATTTGAGCGGTTAGTTCTACTGACTTCACATTGATTTGACTATTTGAGTTGTTAGGCAGAATCTTTGCGCGGGTTCAGTTCCACCTAAAATCCCAAAAAGTGCTACAGTATCTGTCACATCGAATGTTTGCGGTCTATGCATGGAGCATTAAATGTAGACGAAAAAAAAACTAATTGCATAGTTTGGTGGAAAATTACGAGACGAACGTTTTGAGCCTAATTAGTCCATATTTAAACACTAATTACCAAATAAAAACGAACGTGCTACAGTAATCCTAAATTCCATTTTGCTGGAACTAAACACGCCCTTTATATACTCCCAGGGACTATCTTTTGCCGGGTCACGATGGGAAAAAACAAAGACCTCGCTGGTCATCATGGTTAAGGATGGCAGCGGATCGGGTTTGGGGCGGATATCCGCGGGTTTCGGGTTCTGCGGTTTCGGGTTTGGGGATGGTTTTTCACCCACGGTTTTCGGGTTCGGGGCCCCGAAACCAATCGGGTTCGGTTTCGGGTTTGGTTTTCCACCCGTGGATATCCAATGGATATCCGAAATAAATCATTTGGAATTAAAACTCATGTTTTATAATATACTAATAATAATTTGTTTACTTAGATTATTAAATTTATTTAAAGTTGACTCATGAAAATATTTATTATTTGTTGCCTCTTATTTATACATGTGAATATGTATATATATCCATGAGGGTATCCATTCGGGTTTCTGTTTGCCGGTATCATGGGTTTGGTTTTGGTTATGGATTTCCACGAATCGGTTTTGGCGGATTCGGTTTTGATTTCGGGTTTCGGTTTTTGGGTGCACGGAGACTCCACCCGATCCGAACCCGACCCGTTGCCATCCTTAATCATGGTTCATGAGCCGCCGGAACCCAACATAAAATTCACACGCCTTTGCCAACCCCACAACGGCCACCGACCGGTGGGAAGCCACACGGTGACAGTGGACACGGAGTCACCCCCCCTCCCGGCTGTGTGGCTCACCTTCCCCTCTCCCCCCACCTCCACCACCGCGCCCCTCCGCACTCGAATGCCACGACCACGAGACTGACCTTTCCCTCCTCGCTGCCTCAGCCGCGATGCCCGCACCGACCACCGAGCCGGCGCTCCCGGCGGCCTTCCTGTGCGTCCCGTCCCCGCTCCTCTCCAGGCCGCTCCCCGGCGCCGCACTCTCCGCCGCCTCCCCCGCGCCCTCCTCCTCCTTCCTCCCGCGCCCGCGCTGCGGGCCCCGCGCGCTCTCCGTCGCCATCTCCGTCCCGGGCCCCACTTCCTCCGCGGCGTCGTCGCGGCTCCACCAGATGTGGGGCGAGTTCGCGCGGTTCGTGCGGCTGCACGGGAACCAAATCGCGCCGCTCGGGTTCGCGTCCCTGGGCGTGGATTTTGGCAGCGGCGGCGGGGGTAACGCCGGCGGCGGTGGGGGAGGAGGGGGCGGAGGGAATGTGGATGGGGTAGGCGAGGTGGAGGAGGAGGCCGCGGCGCGGGCTGAGGCGCCGAAGAAGGTGCTGATCCTCATGAGCGACACGGGCGGTGGTCACCGCGCATCTGCCGAGGCCATCAAGGTTGCCTTCACCCAGGAGTTCGGCGACGACTATCAGGTGCGGGTTTTCTGCTCTCTTCGCGCCTGGGATTTACATATACTCCGTACCTGTAAAAGTCGTATTCTAGGACGTGTAGCTTGTACACTCTTACAGTCTCGCTTGAATTTTCGCATTCTAAGTTGCCTTATGTGTTACACTCACGGCCTTTAAGACATTTCACACAATAAGCTGTACGAACTTGGTTGGTGCAATTACCGTTGATTTGATTTTGCTGTTGCATGTTCAACATTGAATAAGGTCGTCCTATCCTACCCTACTTAGGTTGATGTGCTCACAACAGCTAATTATGGGGAAATCTTTTGCCATGATACTGTCTGACTCTGTCCTTGCAACCACTACCTTCTTTTGATGCTTTAGCATAATGCTGTACTGATGCAGACCTTTTATTGGAGAAGAAGGATGCCCATTTGTTTGCTTATAGTGGTGCCCATTGGTATTGCCTAGTGACTTGTCAATGCTTGAATGGTTAAATAGTCAGTAATGAAGTGACGCATTTTTTATTATTCATTGCTGTATATTTAGGAGAATGGGGGAATTTTGGTAGTTGGTACTTCTTGACTTATGGTGCCAAGTGTCATCTGCATTAATTTATTAGTTCTTAAATATACAATGAACCAATGACTGATATTCCACTTACAGGTATTTGTCACTGATCTGTGGACCGACCACACTCCATGGCCATTTAATCAACTGCCTAGGAGCTATAGTTTTTTGGTGAAACATGGACCCTTGTGGAAGATGACATACTATGGTACTGCACCACGTGTAATCCATCAGCCTCATTTTGCTGCAACATCCACATTCATAGCAAGGTTACTGGCTTTATCACAATTCCTATTTTACATTATGGAAGGGTCTCCATAGTTTTCTCGCCACCTTCATGAATTACTAGGCTTGTACATTTGTAATGCAGAATAAGATACACTGTTTTCATACAATTTTGCTTACCTCAGTGCTTAGACAACAAGATGATTTCCTTGTACAGCTGGTAGCACTGAATAAACACTACGTGATGTAGATTAGGAAAATTTGTTATTTATCGTTTTTCATACTTCCTTTCCTTATTTCTCTTTTATCTGAGTGAGGCTTTCACCCCTATTTCCTGCCACATTTGTAGAGTCAAATAAAAAATATATTCATGTGCCTTCAGGGTTTGACCTGTAATTGCCCATCATGAACTTAATCTTGTACTGATTGAAAAACAAAGATAACCACGAAGAACAACAATGAACAACTTTTTATTCCAGATACTAGACTATATTTGTATCCTAGGGCCTTAATCCTATGACTGCCTGTGATGACTAGCATCAGGTGTGTGTAGGATTCTCAAAATCCTGCATAGGAAGTAGACCATGATTTCCTTACAAATTGTGCTGTTCTGTAGCTAGCTCTGTCTGTCTCCCCCTCTCTGAAATTGCCACTTCTTTATGCAGAGAGGTTGCAAAAGGTCTACTGAAGTACCAACCAGATGTAATTATCAGTGTACACCCTTTAATGCAACATGTGCCCCTCCGAATTCTAAGATCCAAAGGTCTCTTGGATAAGATCCCATTCACAACTGTTATCACAGATCTCAGCACATGTCACCCAACATGGTATGCTGGCCTCAGTGTTCTGCATAACTCAAATACTTCTTTGTAGTTTCTTATCAAAATGTGAGACATACACTCTTACAATAAAATAGTTATTCTACTGTTGCCCCTTAGGTTCCATAAGCTTGTCACTAGATGTTACTGTCCATCAACTGAGGTGGAAAAGAGAGCACTAAAAGCTGGTCTGAAGCCCTCACAGATTAAAGTCTATGGCCTCCCTGTTCGACCCTCTTTTGTTAAACCTATTCGACCGAAGGTACAAAATTTCTTCAGCTAATTGCAGTGTAGCATTGACCTACTGATTTTTATGAATCTTTTCCATCTTTCAGAACTTACTGATTGTAGTATCTATTGTTATCCTTTTTAATAGGATGAACTGCGAAGAGAGTTAGGCATGGATGAAGATCTGCCTTCTGTTTTATTAATGGGTGGGGGTGAAGGGATGGGTCCTATTGAGGCCACTGCTAAAGCGCTTGGTGATTCTTTGTATGATGAAAACCTAGGGGAACCCACGGGTCAAATACTTGTAATTTGTGGGCGTAATAAGAAGCTGGCCAATCGATTGCAGTCGATAAATTGGAAAGTTCCAGTTCAGGTACTTCCCTGCAAGCTGATTTGTAATATCCAATAAGTTTAACATTACAACTGCCTTACCAGTTTCTTGATGTTCCTTTTTCTTCAGCAAAAGAATTTTTCTTGAACCCTTTCAACTGCATAGATAGCTTAGATGAACTTAAGCCAAGGTACATTGTTTCTTGGCTAGTAGCAGTTGTGTATTTTTGAACTTCGAATACATGAGACTAAATACTACAGCAACAACATCGTATGGATATCTTAAAAAAAAGTCTCTTAACTAAAAGCGGCTCTTATATTTCACACCTCTTGCACATCCAGATTTCTTCATAAATCCTTGTTTTTTATTTAAAATATTAGGTGAAAGGCTTTGTTACAAAGATGGAAGAATGTATGGGTGCTTGTGATTGTATCATTACAAAGGTATACTTTACGTTAGTCTCTCATGTTCAAATCATGCAGCTTGTTTTCGAATGTGATACATGTACATAATTTGTGGTGATGTTGTGATACACGATTTCTGTTGAATTTCAGGCAGGACCTGGTACAATTGCAGAGGCGATGATCCGTGGCTTACCGATTATTCTAAATGGTTATATTGCTGGACAGGTATTTTTCTTTAGCAACTCATTGTAGAGACTGTTTTATTCCATTATTAGTTCTCATGGTGCTGCATCTTGCTCTCCTCAAATATGAGCTGTCTAAAGAACATTGAAATTATCCCCTGGATTATTGACTCATTGACCATTTCTTTGTTAAATATCTAGGAGAAGCAGTCAGTAAAAGCCACACAAATAGAAGATTGTTGTACTGTCATAGATTCATATACCATATACCATGAGCTCAAGCTTAACTCGAAATCATGGCTAGGTTTGTTTAGATGTTTACGTATCCAAAATTTACTTGTCCATGTAAGATTATCATACCTTGACTTCATCTTTGTGGTTCACTCAGTATAACCTATACAAAAGGTATAAGCAACTGTTAATTGCACTGATACTCATACCTTGCAACTAGGCCTGTTCACTCACGCTTTTAGCTGGTTTTGTTTGTGAAACCAAAACAAACCATCAGGTGTCCGTTTTTACTGTAAACCGAATGCGCTGCTGCTGCTAACAACACCTATCGAACCTGACGAAGATGATTGGCGCTGCCAACACTACCCATATGCCGCCTCCACGTAGTTTGACACTTTGACCCTTCCTACACTCGCCCTCTTCCTTCTCTGTCTCCCTGTCTTCCTCATGACCAAGCAGAATGCCACAATTTGGAAGATCAACAGAAGACTGCCAGAGGCATAAGCAGTCCTAGAAGGAGCACTATGGATGGTTCAAGGATTTCTTCCACTTCCGCCAATTTTCTATCTGTTCTTACCCCATCCCTTACCCTAATTTGTGATTGAACCACTCATGGAGCGAGAGTTCAGGGCAACCAGCATGAGAGCCTCGGTGCTGCTGCGATTGCCACGGTGGAAGAAGCACAGGCCCCAGCTTGGCTCCAAAGGACTTGGTCCACTCAACACACACTTGAGGAGATATGCCGGTGGGGGGTTCTCAGCGACATCGATTTTGTACTATCACTGGCGAGAATAGTGCGTTGAGGGTGGCCCTGCAAGAGGTGGAGCCATGGCAAGTCTCCCCCAGCTGCACCATAACTCATGCAGTCATGCTACTCACGCAATCAACTACAGATGTAGATGCCACGGCGATGGTTGCTGATGATCTCCTCAGTTTGGCTCTGCTAGATGGGTTGGCTGGTCCAAAAAATCTCAAAAAATCCTGGGCTGGAGGCTATGCATTGTTTTGCCGTGTTTGAACCGAGCACATACGGATGCGGCAGGGCTCCCTCTGGCCTTTGGACTGGATTCTGACCTGGTTCACAGCCTGTTTCTTGGTCGATAGCGCTGCCCGCAGTGCACCCACCGAAAGGACGGCTCTAGCATGTGGGTCAGGGGAAGGTATTTTTTCTTTAGCAACTCAGTGTAGGGTCTGTTCTATTCCATTATTAGTTCTCATGGTGCTGCATCTCGCTCTCCTCAAATATGAGCTGTCTGAAAAACATTGAAATTATTCCCTGGATCGTTGACTTATTTGACCATTTCAATGTTAAATATCCAGGAGAAGTAGTGAGTAAAAATCACACAAATAGAAGATTGTTGTACTGACATATATTCATATTACCATATACCATGAGCTCAAGCTTAGCTCCAAATCATCGCTAGGCTTGTTTAGATGTGTACATATACAAAATTTACTTGCCCATGTAAGATTATCATCTCTTGATTTCATCCTTATGTTTCACCAGTTAATTACACTGATACACTCGGACCTTATAACTAGGCCTGTTCACTCACGCTTTTAGCCAGTTTTGTTAATGAAACCAAAACAAACCATCAGGTGCAAGTTTGACTCTAAACTGGCTGTGGTGACGCCACTAACAACATCCATCGGCACCTACTGAACCCAACAAAGATGATTGGTGCTGCCAATGCTGCCTGTACGCCGCCTCCATGTAGTTTGACCCCTCCTACACTTTTGCCATCTTCCTTCTCTGTCTCCTTGTTGTCTTCTTCGTGACCAAGCAGACTGCCACAATTTGGAAGATGAACAGAAGACCACAGCACTATGGATGGTTCAAGGATTTGTTGCACTTACCACAATTTTTTTCTCTGATCTTACCAAATCCCTTACCCTAATTTGTGATTGAACCACTCATGGAAGCGAAAGTTCATGGCGACCAGCATGAGAGCCTCTGTGCTGCTGCAATGCCACAGTGGAAGCACAGGCCACAACTCAACTCAGACGGGCCTGTTCGACCCAGCGCGCGCTTGAGGAGATACTGCCGGTGGGGTTCTCAGTGGCATTGATTTTGTACAGTCTCTGGCAAGAGTAATGCGTTGAGGTGGCCCCTGTCGGAGGTGGAGCCATGGCAATTTGCCCAGCTTCACCATAACTCATGCTACCCACACAATCGACTACAGCCGTGGCTACCGCAGTGGCGGTGGCTCATTTTTTTAGGGTTGCCGGTTGCTGATGATCTCTGCAATTTGGCTCTGCTAGACGGGGCTGGCTGGTCCAAACCGCAGTCTAGCTAAACCGTATGGAACTGTAGAGCCGGTTTTGACAGGCTGGTTTCACGGGGTGGATTGATTGCTACCAAACCATGAACAGGGCTGCTTGTACACTGGTTGGCTGGTCCAAACCGCGGTCTAGATCAACTCATCAACCTGTATGGAAACTGTATAGCCGGTAGGCTGGTTTCATGGGTTGGATTGGTTGGCACCAAACCATGAACAGGGTTTACTTGTAACTGTTTAGGATGGCACTTCAAGGAACCAGCAAAAATGGTCACTGTTCAGTTGAGAACCAGTCAAATTGACTTAGTTAATTTTCTTCGAAAGGGCTCATTCAGGGTCTAAATAACAGTGTAGTCTTATTTTTAGGCTGAAGGGCGGGCCTGGTGCAAACGGTAGAGTCTTACCGCCTGTGACCGGAAGGTCCCAGGTTCGAGTCGCGGTCTCCTCGCATTGCACTGGCGAGGGTAAGGCTTGCCACTGACACCCTTCCTCAGACCCCGCACAGAGCGGGAGCTTTCTGCACTGGGTACGCCCTTTTAGTCTTATTTTTAGGCTCAATAAATGTAGTTTTACTTCTTGCACATGACCCGAGTTGCCAATTATCAAATTCTAAAAATCTGAAATTCAAAGTTTGTCGAATGGAACACCTGTGTTTGAAATTCTGGTAGTTGTTATTCCTTCTTTTTACCCTAGAATATCTGAATGAAATTCTGGAACACCATTTTTTGTTGTTCACGTTCAATGAGATGCCTTCTCATGTCAAGAGACAAGTGTACTAGCAACCTGTTTGAAGGCCCATCTACTATTAGCCCTATATGGCCCACGAGGCTCTCTATATACTTAGGTCCTGTTTGGATTAGTTTCGGATTCTTAAAAACCAGTTTTTGCCTCTAGTTTCTAAAATCTGGATTTTGAGCAAAAACTGGTGGGGGTGTTTGGATCCCTAATTTTTAAAAATGTGACTTCATTTATTGCTCTATGAGTCACAAGAAACTGACAAAAGTTGGTTATCAATAGCTTCGTGGTTTTTAAGAATCTGGCAAGGTCTGTTTGGATCCCACCCAGTTTCGTAAAGCCAGATTCTTAAAAACTGGAGGGATCCAAATAGGACCTTAACAAATATCATTGACATTAAACTAATGTCGTTGCATGAGTATTAATCTTATGCTAAGCATGATATACATTTGATTCTAAAATGGTCTCTTAACTTGAACAGGAAGCTGGCAATGTTCCGTACGTTGTTGAAAATGGATGTGGAAAGTTCTCGAAATCTCCAGAACAGATTGCGAAGATAGTTGCCGACTGGTTTGGCCCAAGGTCAGAAGAACTCAGAGTAATGTCCCAGAATGCCCTCAAACTAGCACGACCGGATGCTGTGTTCAAAATCGTCCACGATCTGCACGAGCTCGTTAGGCAAAAATGTTTTGTACCCCAATATGCATGTGCAACATAAAAGGTCGTATCCTCTGTTTTGTGTTTACTTAATTTTTTTTACCCCGATGCGGCACTAGTCATAGCTGATTGTGAGGATTGCAAATATTGATTGATTTCAAACGTCTCCATAAGGGAAATGAAAATGTATGGAGTGCTCTAGTTTAATTTTTCCTTAATACTTTTTTGTTTCTGGGACTCAACTGACTCGTATCTGTTGTGTCTTGTCAGTGCTGCATGCATTTACGAAATCAATCCCGATGAAATTTCCAATGGATTACTCGGACGCCATGTGTTTTCCTCGGATCATTAAGGTAACCAGTTCATTTGCACGAATAAATAACGTGAAGTGAAGCTGAGTTTAATCCTTGAAATCAGTTGGTAGGATCTGGTCAAAGTCAAACATGGGAGCACTGCCCTTCAGCCTGTCCCTGCCTACTTGACTGACACTTCCTGGTTCCTGACCCCCATAACCCAATGGCACTATTCCTGCATGTGGCAAACCTTCTGCGGTCGTGCCCTCCGATCCGTAACCAACCCCTTTGAAAAATACTACTACTACCAATACCAGTGTTATCATTTATGGTGGGGAACTTGGCTCCGGGTTTGATCCTAATGCCTGTTAGCTTCACTGTGGCTGAAAATACTGTTAGCTGATTTATTGTGAGAGAAAAATACTAATCGTTGATTGAAAAAGTACGACTTATAAGTCAGTTGAAGGCTGTTTTGGCTCAAAAAATCTCTCGTGTTGTGCTTGACCGCTGAAGAATCATGAGCTGTGGAGGCTATCGCCCTATTCGCTTGACTTATAAGCTGTACTTTTTCAACCAACGAACAATATTTTTTTTTTCACAACGAACCAATCAACGATACTTTCAGTCCTGGCTTATCAGCCAAACCAAGGCCATAAGCATCGAGTCGTTTGGCCACGTTTGAGCCGAGCGCATACGGATGCGGATGCGGCAGGGCTTGGCCTGTGGACCGGAGTTCTGGCCTGGTTCACACACAGCCTGTTCCTTGGTCGCTAGCGCTGTCCGCTGCGCACCCACCGAAAGGGCGGTTGTCAGGTCAGGTGAGCTCGTTATGCTTACCGACTGTGCTGCACTGGCTTCACGGATTGTGCGTCCGTGATTGTACTATGCGTCTTCTTTTTTCCTTCTTCTATCCCGTTTTTGTTTTTCTTCTTCACGGATTGTGCTTCTGTTTTAGCGGGTGTTTAGCTGGTGAGTTTGAAAATTTTTGGACGTCACGTCGGATGTGTTAGAAGGATGTTGGGAGGGGTTTTTGGATATTAATAAAAAAATAAATTACAGAACCCATCAGAAAGCTGCGAGACGAATCTAATGATACTAATTAATCGATCATTAGCACATGTGGATTATTGTAGCACTTAAGGCTTTTCATAGACTAATTAGGCTTAAAAGATTCGTCTCGCGATTTCCAACCAAACTGTGCAATTAGTTTTTTTTCGTCTACATTTAATGCTCTATACATATGCCGTAAGATTCGATGTGACATTTTGGATTGAAAATTTTTGGGAACTAAACAGGACCTTTAGTTCCAGTTAAAATGTACGTATACTGTTGAGACCGGGAAGTAGGCTGAGACCGGCCTGACCGAGGTATTTTCCATGACTGCTAAGAGCATCTTCAAGAGTTTGTCAAATTTTACTTGACAAATTTTGTGATTTGTCAACTCCCAAAATTATATGCCAAGTAAAAAAACAATCTATCTCTAAGAGTTTGGCATTTTTAACTTGGTAAAATAAAAAAACCTGTTAACAAAACGAAGAGACCCGCTAAGCGAACGAAGAGCCCCGCTAAGAAACGAAGAGCCCCGGATGCCAAACCGTATACGCGCGCGTATATTTGCGCGCGCGGAGGAAAGATTTGTCAAGTTGCTATTGATGCCAAGTTGTTTTGCCAAACTGTTGGAGGCTATTTTTTTTTCTTGTTTTGCCAAAATTATATGAATGCCAAGTTAAGATAGCAAACTCTTGGAGATGCTCTAATATTCAGTATTGTTCGGGCCTGTTTGGTTTCTACGTGCATTCCTAAAATTTCTGTCACATCGAATGTTTAGATATATGCATGGAGTATTAAATATAGACTAATTACGAAACTAATTACACAACTTGCGAGACGAATCTTTTAAGCCTAATTAGTCCATGATTTGACAACGTGTGCTACAATAACATATGCTAATGACAGATTAATTAGGTTTAAAAAAATCGTCTCGTAAATTAGCCTCTATCTATGTAATTGGTTTTGTAATTAATCTATATTTAATATTCTTTATTAATATCTAAACATTCGATATGACATGAATTTTAGTAACGACGAAAGAACCAAACACCACCTTCGTCGATGAGCAGGGTAGTGGATTGAGATTGAAGATTCACCGTGGTGACACTAGGAGGTGTTTGGTTCTTTAGTCGCTTTTAAAATTCATGTCATATTGAATGTTTAGATACTAATAAAGAGCATTAAATATAGATTAATTACAAAACTAATTAATGGAGACTAATTTTCGAGACGAATTTTTAAGCCTAATTAATCTATCATTAGCACATGTTTACTGTAGCACCACGTTATCAAATCATAGACTAATTAGGCTTAAAAGATTCATCTCGCAAATTAGTTGCAAGTTATGTAATTAGTTTCATAATTAGTCTATATTTAATACTCCATGCATGTGTCTAAATATTCGATGTGACAGAAATTTTAGGAGTTCCTGCAGGAACAAACAGCCCCTAGATTTTCTTATCTTATTTTGCCGTACCGATGATAACCATCGTGTGACATGACATGATCTGTATTCTGTACCAACACATTCCTCCTGCTTGTATATATTCCCTGTGTGCTGTTTTCTTGCGGGTGTCTTCAAATAGAAAGGCCGTGGAGGCCCTCGGCACTCCACGTCTGAATTCTGGTCACTAAAGGACCAGCATGACCACCTGATCTCCTTTTTCAGTCGTGATGAGAAAACTTTATAAGACCGCATCCATCTCTCATGTGGCCGTCGACGTGCCTTGTACACTCATAATTCATAAAACAGCGAAATTGGAATTCTCATAATTTCTATCTGTTACACTAATCTCTTTTGTGGCACTAGCAGTGGCAGCAGGTTGCATGGACGTTCTGCGGCAGGGTTCAGTTGCCAATTGCTCAACCGTACTGGTATTCAGCCTGTTTCGTTTCGGCTGAATTGGCTTATAAGCCATGGTTGAAAGTACTGCTGGCTAGTTTGGTGTGAGAGAAAAACACTGTTCAAGCCGTGGATTATAAGCCAGATACAAGCGAATAAGCCGAAATTGTCTACAGATCAGATAAAAATAAACGCATAATTCCACTGGTTCCCTGCAATGCAAATTGATCTCGGATGAAGCCCAGAGAAATAGCTAGGAAGACAGAAAAAACAACCACCGTGAGTGCTTGTTCATGTGCCAACAACTAAACACTGTATTACCATTTGCCAATCACCAGAGGTAATCTCAGAAACAAATCTGCAAGTATAAAGATATTCACATATATAGCCCATGGCTGCTACCCCATGCATCCCATCCCAGTCAAGTCAAATATAACCACACGTCTCCTGTGCAAAACCAACCTGAGACCCCGAGGTGTCAAAGATGACCCTCAGGTTCTTCTGCTGGTAGTTGCCGATGATGGAGGTCTCGTACTCGGATTTCAGGGAGGCCATGGCCAGGCACACCTGGGAGGAGTCGCTGCTGACGAAGTAGAGCACGCCGCCAGAGTCCACCTCCACCTCCACGCCGCCGTCGAACACGAGCTTCAGGCTGGGCACCTGGACCTCTCTGAGCCCGGTCATGTTGAAGCAGGTGTCGAGGATGGAGAACCCTGGAGCCTGCGGGTACTCCGCGAGCTGGCTCAGGAACTCGGCCTTGACAGCGTTGTAGATCGACGGCACGAGGCTGGTGATCACAGTGCCGGAGTCGATGATAGCCTTGCTGCCGCCGCCGCCGGCCGAGAAGCCTGAGGATTCCACCTCCTGACCGCCGACCGTGATCCCTGTCAGGTTCACGAAGTAGAAGGGACCTTGGAGTGGGTCGGACACCATCGAGGTGTACACGATCGGGGTCGAGTTCCGGTACACCGACGAGTCGTCGCCGAGGACCAGCGAGCCCGACGAGTCGGACTCCTTGAGCGGGAGGCAGTAGGAGAAGACGCCGCCGAACTGGTCCATGGTCTGGGAGACGAGCGAGAGCTGGCTCCGGCCGAGCCCCATGAGGCCAGACGTGCCGCCGAACGGCGGGCCCTGGTTGCTGGTGCCGCAGCCGAACACGAAGCCATCGATGACCTCCCCGGCCAGGCTCAGCCTGTCGTGCGCCAGGACGCCGCGGGAGTAGGAGCCGTCGCGGTAGCTGAGCGTGTAGCTGCAGGCCGCCGCCGGCTGCTGCTGGTCCTGGCCGCCGCACGCCGCGGCGCCCGACATGCCGCCCGTGGCCAGCTGCAGCGCGTCGCAGGAGGAGGAGTTGCACGGCACCGCGGCGTAGGACGGCGACGAGGACGGGTCGAAGAGCGGGCCCTGCTGGTCGTGGCACGACTCGCACGGCGCGCACTGCACCCAGGTCAGCTCGCTGGCCGTGTCCACGATCACCGTGGCCTCGCCGCCGCCCAGCCCGACGGTGGCCACGTAGTTGAGCGTCCGGAGCTTCGCGCCCGAGGTGACGGGCACCTGCGCCTTGGACGCGGTCACCGCCACCGCCGCCGCCGCGGTCGACGAGGTGGTGATCAGCCTGTTGTACTTGTCGATGCGCCGTTGCAGCGACGAGACGCGCGCGGCGTCGGTGGACAGGAGGCCGTTCACCTCCTCCTTCCTGCTACTGGCTGGCGCGGAGCTGAAGCTGTGGTGCCTCAGCTCGAGCACCGAGGCGCCACCCACGGCTCCTGAACATCGCAAACAAAACCGACAACCGTGAGATGAGATGAAGTCATGGGAGGGAGTGGGACGGAAGCCTCTCTCTCTCTCTTTCTCACTCTCACTACACTTGAGCAGAGCAGCTGAAAAATCTGTGACGGTGTCACCACCACCTACCACATGGAAATTTAGTAATTACTATTCTTATAGTTGTTTATGTAATCCACCCGTACTTGGGACGTGCTACTTCGGGCAGTGGCAGCAGAGCCCTGACCCCAAAACTGAAAAAACACCATGGAAATCGCATTGCCATTCCTCGTGCAGTCCCACCATTCCCATTCCATGGAAAGACGAGCTCGCTCGCTCTTAGTGCCGGTGTTTCCAAAATTTTGCATTTTTTTTTTTAAGATTTCTCGTCACATCAAATTTTCAGAGACATGCATGAAGCATTAAATATAAATAAAAAATAAAACTAATTATACAGTTTAAACGAAATTCACGATACGAATCTTTTAAACCTAATTAGACTATAATTGAACACTAATTACCGAATAACAATGAAAGTGCTACATTATCATTTATCAAAATATTTCGCCAGCTAAACAAGTCCTTACTGATTGCTGCTTTCCACGCCCCTTCTAATATTAGCATCTGCAGACTTTCCAAATCCAATACATTTGCAGAACGGAAGTGAACGGAGTCGGCAACGCTTCACCAAGAACAGAAAACAATCTATGATTATGAACAGCGGCAGATGGCCATTGCTGCTGGCAGAAGCATGTGCATTGGGACGGACTGGCTGAATCGTTCCTTTTCTGGTGTCCCCACAAGGCCCCAACCCCAAGTCGGCCATTGATTCCTCTTCTTCCATCCAAGAACACCGGAGAAACCAAGAAACGGCCGGGGCAGGGAGACAGAACGGATCATGAGGGAAAGAAAGAACTTACTTGACCTCAGGTGGTGGTGCCTCTGCCTCCCCTGCAAGGCTCTCCTGCTCAGGAGGTGCCTCGGCCTCCCCCCCTCCTCAAGGTGAAGGCAATGCACGCCGCCATTACCACCACCTGCTGCTGCTGCTGCGAGGAGGAGGAGCAGCAGGAGAGCAGCTGCCGCAGCAGTGCAAGCTCCCCATGCCATCACTCGCTCGGCTAGCTCCTCTCCAGCTCACTCACAGGAGGGAGAAGAGGAGAGGAGAGAGAGGCCAGGAGGAGGAGGAAGGGGGGAAAGATTCTTGGTGGCGTGAGCAAGTGAGAGGTGAGGTAGGCTTGTTGCGGCGCATGGGAACAAAGGCGCAGCAGCTGGCGGCTGGCCGTCGGGTCGGGGGTGGGGTGGGGTGCGGTGGTGTACTCGCTGTGGTGTGGGTGAGGAGAGGAATTATTGGGGGCTTCACATGCATGTCCTCTTGCTTGGCCGCCGCACCAGACAGTGCTCACAGCGCAGCGCAGCGCGCGCGCACACGCACACGCTCCCCGGCCCCGGCCCTTCCCTCTCTCTCATCTCATCTCTCCTTCGTCCCTCTCTCTCTCTCTCTCTGAGCTGGTGGAGCCGGCCGGCCGGACCCTCGCTGCTGACACGTTTTCTTTATTACTATTACCAACGTACTCTAGCAGTGGCCATGGAGGATGGAGGAGTATCTCGTGGTGAGGAAAAAGAGGCGGGGATCGGAGTTTAGTCATCAGAGTGCGTGGGTGGACGCATTGAAAACCGGGCGTAAGTGACATTAATGTCTGCGTCAGGGCCGGGGGGTCAGCGACGCAGCCTTGCCTTGTCCGGAGCACACTGTAGCACGGCCGAGAAGAAGATGCCAAGAGGGGGAAGACGACCCCGCCACAGGCCGTCCGCGTTGCACTGCAGTACTTGGAGTAGGATTGGGGTTCGGAACAAGCAACAAATGGAACGACGACCTCTCGATCGCACGCATGTGATGCTCGGGAGTCAGGTCTGGTACTCTGGTGTAACAACACATTGGCGCATCGCCATGTGAAGTTGCAACTGGCGGAGTAATGGGGGGATTGGGATGGGATTGATCGCTAGATCTGTCTGCTCTACTTGGTTGTAGCGGTAATGCAACTCGCACATGACATGACACTGGGACTCTGCAAGACCGGTCTCAAATTCCAAAATGATCCAACACCACCCGCTGGATCTCGTTCTGATCATCATAAATGGCTCCGATCCACCTAGCATGTAGCCATTCTTCTGATCCACAACGCAAATTGTGGTGAGACCGGCACCAAAAGCTCCTGGGCAACACCGGCACAGGGCTGGGCGAAGGTAAACACAGATGCCGCCTTCCATGCATCGCCAGCTCCGGGGCAAGTGGTTGTGTGATCAGAGATAACAATGGTGAAATCGTGGCGGCAGAGGTAAGGAGGCATGAACTTGTCCGAGATGTACTTACTATGGAAGCACCGGCGGCAAGGGATGGTCTTCAGTTAGCGAATTCTTTTCCTCTTTTCGTTTGGGTTGCCTGTCCATGGAAGATGCATAATAGTTTCATTAATAAAAAAGAAGAACTGCATACGAGGATATCTCTTGAAATATATACTGCATTCAGAATGTAAATCCATATTGGACTCTTGCTGGCCAAACTTTGATAGCGTCATGATATGCCTTGTCATGAATATGTAAACTTTCTTTGGATCGACTAGAGTAGATCTAGGCGGATGAACTCATAGATCCATGAAACACATGCACATTTAGACCTAGAACACTACACCGAGAGGAAGATAGGGAGAGAGGGCGGTGATGAACCCGAGCCTCCTCGGTTTTTCGTTGGGTTGGTGATGGAGGAGCCTGTCCGGCAAATGACAGGGAAGAGGTTGCAGACATCGAATATCTTTCATCCAGGCGTTCGATAAAAAAGATCGGTGGAGAACTGCCCTCGAGATCGGTTTAGGGTTTATCTCTTGGGTTATATACTGCGAACCTCGTGCTTTATGTAAATCCTCTTATATTGGACTCAACCATGTAGGGTTGGGCGCCCCGATCTTTGCGTGACCAAGGCCCAATAGGCTGTTGGGCTTATTGGTTAGGAGATCAATCTAATGAATACATTCATTATGAAAAATGCTTTCGTAAATATAACCCTTTTCATTATGAACTGCAAACGAGTTGGCAACCAGTGATTGTAATCCTAGTGTGATTTAATAAAGCTCTCGAGTTTTTTTTTAAACACAAATTCTTTTTCAGTTTCCATTTGAGCTGCCTGTCCACGAAAGATGCATAAGGGTTTCATTAGAAAAGAAAAATTGCACACAAGAATACACTTGGAATATATACTGCATTCAGAATGTAAATCCATATTGGACTCTTACTGGTCAAACTTTGGTAGTGTGATGATATGCATTGTTATGAATACCTTTTGTTATTAAAATTGCTTTCATAATATATAACCCCTTTTTATGTTGGAAATAATAAAATGCCCGTGTATTGCAAGTCAAAGTACCATAACGTGTTGATAGATTTATACTTGGGATAAGAGGTAGTATCCCTTAATTCCAAATTATATAGGACGTTTTGTTTTTTCTAGATACATAGCTTTTGCTATATACTTAAAAGTGCACTAGATAAGTCAAAACGTCTTATAATTTAGAACATAAAGAGGATTTGTTAAGGGCACCAACCCAATCTACAAAGATGAGACTTTAGCTAGCAATATCAATAGAAATTATTATATTTCAAATAAAGGTACTCCCTCTGTTCCAAATTATAAGTTGCTTTGACTTTTTTGGTGTATCCATTTTGCTATTCATCTGGATATAATATATGTTTAGATACATAACAAATATTATGTACCAAAAAAGTCAAAGCGACTTATAATTTAGAACGGAGAGAGTATTAAGCATTATGAAAATAATTTTAATGATAAATTTGGGAATATCAACTTATGCAATTATTTATATATACCAACAATTAAAGTTAAAATAACTTTGTTTAGTAGGAACCCTAAAACTACATTTGAAATCGGACAAAGTATAATTGAAACCCTCAGCTTTTTTCTACTTTTTTTAATAACTAGCTACTGCATGAATGTAACATAGCCATAAATGATTTTCGTAAAGCTACTTAGCTTTTTCCTGCATTTATTTAGTTGCCTTGCACTCTATTGGTCGGTTATTGAGGCTGTCGCTGTGTCGCATATGCGACTGAAACTCGTCTTGTTGTACAGTACATACGTAATGAGATCCATACCTTTCTTCTCTTCTAACGGAAGTATGTAGTAGTGTTTCCTTATTTGTTGATTTTTGTTTCACCGATGGAACATCAAAAGATTGTGTCCATTGGGAAGAAAACTTGTTTCATGGAGAGAAGGGAAAGTTGTTGCATCGAAAGAGAAAAAATGTTCTTGAGAAGAAAAGTGGTTCGGCAAAGATGAAAAAATGTTCTATCACAAGAAGACAAAATTTGAATCGAACTCAGTTGCGTTCCAAAAAAAAAATATGCAATTTTAGGCTTGAGATTAGTCAAACTTTCTCAAATTTAACCTAAATTATTTATAAGGAAAAATTTCAACATTTATGTCTCTAAATAGAACTATAAAAATATATTTCATAATAAATCTAATTATACTTTTTTTATATAAAACATGTTAGTATTTTTTATTTAGATGTGATTAAAGTTGAATTGTTTGACTCATCACGGACGTGAGAGTTGTATTCTTTGTGGGATGGAGGGAGTATAAAATAAGAAGAAATTTCCCGTTGTTTGACCCCCTCACTAGAAACATGCGATGTTTGGCTTAGCAAACTTTTAACACTTCGGCCAACATTAACTTTGAAATATTTAGTTTAAAAACATAAGAAAACTATGTGTTGATTTGTCATGAAAAATAATTTATAGAAATTTATTATAGGTCTATGGATATATGCTAATAGAAAATAATGATCAAAGTCCCCTCTCATCAAAGACAGTAATAAAAAGTGAAAAGGATCAATTATTTTTATTTACTTTACTGTGTACATGTTACATGCTGTTCGACGTTAAGAAGTTTCTTGAGGGGACAAAAAAAAATGGCTGTGATTGGGCCAACAACTTGTGAAAACTGCTTCCGAGTCCAAGGAATCCTCCATGTGTCACGGGTCCAACAACTTGAGAGAAAGTGCACCGTACCCTAACACTACTCCATGTGTCACGTGTGCGAGGTCGATCCGTCGATGTTCGATGAGGACGCGCTACAGTATGTGGACTTAGGAGCGGAAGTAAGGATGCTCAGATCATCCTCGACGAAGAAACATTTTCCGGGAGCCCTGGCTCCTGCTCTTGCACTCCTGCTCAATGGATCGGTCTATCACTCCTGTATACGACAACGTGGAATCGTGGATCATTATTACACATCATCAGCGTGTGAAGTGAGCATCGCCAGCTGCAGCCTCTCTTCCTCCTCGTCGACGGCCACACCCGCCGGCGAGCTCACCAGGCCGAGCTCGCGCGGCACCAGCACGTCAGTCTGGCCCGCGGCGGGCACGAGGCCGATGGCCCCCAGCGTGGCGAGCCTGAGCACGTTCCTGAGCAGCACGGCGAGCCAGAGGCGGCCGAAGTCGGTCCTGGTCACGCGCAGCGCGCGCAGCACCGCCGCGCCGCCGGCCTTGGCCGCCAGCATGCCGAGGCTGTCGATGCACATGAGCAGCGCGAAGAAGGTGCCCTCCATGCCCGTCGGGCACAGCTTGGTGCTCAGCACCATCATCGGCATCAGCCTGACGCGCCCCACCACGCGGGACACGCACTCCTCCAGGGTCACGAACGCCGCGTCGGGGACGCCCAGCGCCAGGTTCCACCGGAGCACGAAGGTGAGGTCCAGGAGCCCCGACACGCCGTACAGCAGCTGCGCGTACAGGAGGATGCTCCGGAACGGGTAGTCCTTGAGGCACTTGTGGTAGACGAGTACGCCCAGCATGGACGCCACCGCGCCGATGGCGTGGACCAGCCCGACGAATTCCTGCATCCATGGAGTTGGAGGAGGTGGGGGTGCAACAATGATTTTCATGCATCTGTTGTATTGTACTCATGAGAGTGATGCCCTAATAATGTTCTGTTTGGCATTTGCGGAGTTTTTTTTTTCTTCAAGAGCACTTGATTTTGCAATTTTTTGTTTGTTAGACAGGATACACTTTTCTTTTGAAGAATCATGACACAGTAGTCATATTGAATTGGTGGTAAAGACTCATATCTTACTGTCTATATATACTGGGTTACACTTTACTGCACAGAACATTTCTACAGAACAACCCAGACGTGATTATAACTTATAACATTCCAGGCTAAAATAAGAAGAAAGAAATTTAAAAAAACCATAGGATAATGTAGTTTACCAGTTCATCATAGGCATCTGTTAGGGACATTCAGGACAGCATTATTGAGCAAGCAATATTGGTGGGGACCACACGAGGGCAGCCTTTTTTATCCATCAGTTAGATCTTTGCTTTTGTTAGTTTCAGTTTACTTGAGTGATTGGTGTGGTAACTAGGACCTGTTTGGATATCCCCGCCTAAACTGTAGTCACCTAAACTTTAGGTCTAGGTATCCAAACAGTGAACTAAACTTTAGTTCCTACTACAACTAACCATTAGTCCATTAGTTGACAAATGTAGACTAAAGTGGACTAAAAGGCAGCCATGAGTCTACTTTTAGTCCATGTATCCAAACACACTAGACTAAAAATGGTATATACTAAACTTCAGTACAACTAAATTTTAGTCCACCTAAACTTTAGTTTTAGGTGATCCAAACAGGGCCCTAGACTTCTTATTTTCGTCTAGGTTTTTGTATTTGTACTTTCCTCCCAATCTCTCGTGCCCTTTTGGCATTATAAGGATAGAGATAAAGCATTGCCTTTGGAGATTAAAAGGTGGGAAGCAAGGAATTAGATGAAAAGTGAAGATCATCATGTGTCGTGTCGACCACATACACTAGTAAGTTTAAGTTCATTGGCACTATTCTACTTAGAGTTCTCAGTTCAATACACCCCTTCCCGCCTCACCTGTATGACTACAGTAATTACATCATGAACCTAACCATTTGTAGAAAGATCCGGCATGTCTACAATTGACTTGCAGTTAAAGACACAACGGGTTGCTGGCGGTACAAAACAACACATATGACCTCCCTACACAGAATATGCTCACTAATATGAATTGCAGATTCAAAGTGAGCCTAACTCAACTAGTTGGATGATACTTGTAGTCATGCATCTAACCACCTAGGTTCACTTTCATCTTCAACTCGAATTTGGGTACCTATTTTCTTCTTAATTAATGAAAAACCATCTAGTTCCTCATAGGTTGGTCTCATTTTATATTTTTTAACCGCAGACCCATTTTTCTGAACAGACTGCATCTTTGGGTCATCCATGCCACGGACCTCAGATCGTGCAGGACCAGGCCATTATGTTGCAGATCAAGATTAACATTGTTCTGTTCTCGAAAAGAAAGATTACTATTGCTCTGTTCAACAGATCTACTGATTAGCAATCACATCAAGCAGGCAAGGAAACGAACTTTTACCTGTGAAAATCCAGGATTAGGTGGTGTCTTGTTAGTATACCAGTAGAATTGCCCCTCATGGGTGCTGATACTCAGAGCCAGCGAAAGGAACATGTAAAGAGATGGCTTCCACACTACTGGATACCTTATAGTCCGAACCATTCCTTTCACTGCCCCACTAACCTTGTTCAAAACCTGCATTTCATTAGCATATCAGTGAGAAATCAAGTTATTCTGTATTCTTCATGTTTCTTTCATCACTACGACGTTGTGTGTACATGGATTCTTGTCCCCACTCACCCATCCACACACATATGCATCGCCACTCTCTTCAGTTAACTTTAAGTCGCTAGGTTCACTTCTGGTTCAACAGAGAAATCATTAATTTATTTAACGATTTACCTGAAGAATTTCAATTGCTGAAGCATCAGAGTTATTTTATTCTAAAACTTTGCTAGGATAGTATTCTGGAAGAATAATGTAGAATAACACAATTCAGCTTGGACAAAGCAAGCCGCATGAGATGCTGCCATATAGAACATCATGTTTGATAAAATGTAGTAATGTGATCATAACTAAATGGTGAAAGATCGCCGATGAACATACCTTCTCTTTAACATTATGTTGACGTGCTTTCAGCTCATATATGAAAAATCCAAGGAAAACCACTGTGGCAGGAGGTATAGCCATAACACCTAACGCACCCTACATTAAGCCAAAAGTCATTCAACATATAATTTCTCACTGAACCAACAGACATGGATGAAACTTAGCAAAATAGAGCATTTGGACAGAAATTGACCTGTGCTCCAAGATGATGGACAAACATGCCACTTGTAGCATACCCAACAAGTGCACCTAGAGATGATGAGAATGCACAAAGGCTCTGCATATCTGGAGCCAGCGCCGGCTTATCAATACTATTCTTTGCAATGCAAGCATCTATTGTTACATCAGCAATGGCGACTGCAGTTGAGATTCCCACCAAGCAAAGTACAGCAGAACTCACTGGCAATCCAATAGTTATGGCAACGATAGCAGCTGAAACCATTCCAAGTATTCCTACCATCATGAAAAATAAACAAGGATTTATCAGTGAAGCCTACAGTTGCTACGTGCCAGTAGGGAACCTTGCCGTTTCCCATAAGAAATGTCTACAATTGCTACAACTATTGATCTCTCTGACAAATCATAACTCCTACAGTCCATGTATTTGGTTAAAATAAACCAAATATGCAGTTATAAACCTGTAATCTACTTAACATCTTTGGAGCCATAATAAAGCAACAGTATTAACAATCATCTTTGCATTTGTCTCCTATTTTCACCGTACAATCATGCTACTAGAAGAAAATGTAAAAATAGCTAACTCCAATTAATTCATTATGGCATCGTATGTTACTGTCACATCATTCTGAGAACTGGTCTCGCAAAAAGGGGGGAAAATGCAAAAGACAAAGAGTTTAGGCGTTTAGCTAAGATGTTCCTGTTGCGTACACTCCAATTAATTGCAGAATAATAACAATTTACCACCCAAATAAATTAAATGAGATAAAAATTACACAGATGAATACTCACACGGAGCTTTTCAAAATTGTAGGCATGGAAAGAAGAGTCTACTACACGCAACGCAACTAGATAAGACTTAGACTGGAAAACATGAAAACTGTGCTGAAAATGGTAAACAAGCTGAAAGTGACATGTACTAAATAATCTTACCCCAAAAGGAGGCAAACACTACCTCACTCATATTTTTTCACCGACTAATTAAGATCAAACATCCAACTAACAATGCACACACTGCCAAGGATTCAAACCTACTCCACAATGGTATGTCACAGTCGAAACACTCTCATCCACATTTACAAAATCCCTTTCAGACTCACAAAGTCCACAGCCAGCAATGGTTAAGCTGAATTAGAGCCATGTTTTTCAGCTACCACCACAGCAATGGTCAAGCCATTATTTATCAAGAGCATAAACAATTGTAACCAATTAACATATCCAAATCCAAAAGGGGCCTAACAGTAAGCATTGGTAAATCCTTGTGGGGAAAATGAAATCTGTTTATACGCAGGCATATATATAACTGAAATTAACACCTACCACATAACAATGGCAACAGATAAAAAAGATGGCTTTGAAGATGATTCGTTTGAAAAAAAAAGCCTTGACGACTGATTCCCGGCCGGCCGGCTGACCTGAGAAGAGGAAGTACGGGCGGCGGCGGTACCCGCAGACGGGAAAGACGTCAGTCATGATCCCCCAGAGCGGCTTGAGCACCCATGGAATGTAGAAGAAGACGGAGAGGAACTGCACAGTGGCCGGCTGCACCCGCTGCACGTCCTTCCAGTAGTAGTCCGACGCCACTCGGAAGAAGGAGCCGGCGAAGCCCTGGCTGAGGCCGTACACCAGCACCACCCCAGCCACGAACGTCGCGCCCAGCTCCCGGCACAGCATCCACATCCACCGCACCGGCTCCAGCACGGCCGCCGCCCAGTCGCGCTCACCGCCGCTTGGCCGCGCCCCCGACCTCGGGTCCTGGCCGACGAGGCTATCCGCGTCCACGGCGGCGTCATCTTCCAGCATGGTTCTTGGATTCTTGACTGGTGCCTAAGCTCCCTTCCCTTCTTGATAGTTTCTTGCTAGGCGAGTTCTCGAGCAATGCGGTGCTCAGATGCAAGGGTTGGAAATGGATTTAAGAATTTGAAGCGAGCTTGACATCTGAGATTAGTTTATGGAGCTCGTGGGGGGTGGAGATGGAGTAGGACCGGGGAAGACTTGAGCTTGGGAATGTGAAGTTGAAAGCTGACCAGCTTACCAGCAGTTCAGGAGAAGGCGTTGACAAATTGGTGGAAACAAACAAATTTAGCCAACACTAAGGCTATCCACACTAGTCAACCTCTATTTCCATACTCTAAAAAAAATATTTTATCATAATCATCGAGATTCTCTACTTTATATCAATTTCTTCCGCACCCATGTTATCTCTATTACATACTCTATACCTATTATTCCATATTTTATTCCCCTCCCTCCCCTTTCTCTCTCTCACCAACTTCACCAACTTGCGAGAGGAGCGTTGCTGGTGTGGTGGACGGGATAGCGTTCGTCTCCCAGCTGCGTTAGGTTTGGAGATGCCCTGTAGCAAATGGAGGGATTGGGGATGAAATAGAAAGCAACGGTGTGAGCCTTTCCTATGTATATTTCCAGTACAGGCTCGGTTCAGGCACGCGGTGCGGACAGTCTAACACTGAAAACATACAAAAGGTGATGGAGATACCATCAGGGAACTACTGGACGTCCGCGAGCCTGTGTCATTAGTCCCAACTCATCCTTGATTAATCCTAACACTTGAACGGGAGTCCTCTCCGTTTCCTGGAAGATCCTTCGGTTACGCTCTTTCCAAATATTCCAAGTTGTGTACATAAGGATTGCCGCTGTTGTTCGCTGCTGATTAGCGGATTGTCTCTAGAGAGCATTCTTCCACCAGTGCTGCATTGTCTGCACGCCCGGAGTAGGCAATGAAATGCAGTCACCCGTCCAACTTTTGACAAGGGACCAAATCTCTAATGCAAATGGACAGAGAACACAGAGGTGGAGTGCCGTCTCTGGCTGCTGGTCGCACAACGAACAGACCGGGTTGCACGGCCAGTTCCTCTGTAGTAGCTTATCGACCGTCAATATTTTTGCTTGTATCAGCAGCCAAGTGAAGAACCGATGTTTACCTTCTGCGCGTGCCCTCCAAATGGACTTGGTGTTGAAAGGGGGATGCGATCCTTCGAATTGCGCCAAGTATGCCGATTTTGCACTATAACATCCATCGGGTGTCCATCCCCAAGAAATGGTGTCCTCCCGATCAACCAATTGGACGACACTTACAAGATCCCAAAGCTCAACGAATTCAGCCATTTGTTGTACAGATTCCATCCTCCATAATCCTCTCAAACTATTCACATCAGCATACAATATTATTTAATAACATATATTTAGTTGTCCACATCATAAAACTAAAAATCAAACACTAACATGTATTATAATATTTATTTATCCATATAAGTAAACATAAGTAGTATAATTTTACTTGTGCTTCTCGTAGCAATGCGCGTGGCATTTAGCCTTGGGCGTTCGGGTTACCTGATTTTTTTTGGGTCGGGGAATTCAGGTAATTCAAAATTCGGGTAATGAAAACTGCTATCCGATATTAGCTCCGAAAAAACACTACCCGCAAATTCGGGTACCCGATAATTCGGGTTCAGGTTCAGATATTACCCGATATACCCGAATTTACATAAAACAGCAAACTACACTAAATTTTAGTAGCGATCTATACATAATTTCAGCAGCAATTTGTATAGAATTTTAACAACAATTTGCAGAGAATAATATATTACAGTCACTTGTTCAAAAAGAGAGAATTACATTCTAACAAAGTGATAAGTTAAAGTGTTCAACTAACAACACATGATAAATACAAAGATAAAAAAATCTTTGGGTAGTTCGGATAGTTTGGGTACCGGGGGATATTACCCGAATTACCCAAACTAATTTTGGGTAATCAAAATTGCTATTTGAATTTGGGATCGGGTACCTCGGGTTTGGGTAATTCGGGTCTGGGTTCAAGTAATTCGGTACGGGTAATGGATATCCGGTATTTTGTCCAGGCCTAACGTTCTTCTGGTTTCTAAAATAATCGATTTTTTTGTTGGCTTTGTATTTTCTAACCCAGGAGGCATCACTTTAACTAGTAAATTGGGCTATAATCCAATTTGGGACAAAAACTAAACTTGAGCGCTAGTTGGGCCTGCCCGAAGAAGATACCATTTTGTTTTGAGGCTAAATGGCCTACCTTGGTTGGATAGGACGCGTCATTAAGCATTTTTACATGGGCTAAACTGGGCTGCCAAGGCACATGTACGCTAAGATGATTAAAACCGAGAAGACGATAACTTCTTTATCCATACATATTTTCTTCAATTTGTTCAGATTCTAAAACATCACTCATATATGTTCGTCCGGTTGTAATACATTTTAGTTATCAATTAGTCTATGTACTTTTTGCACCCATATTCGAATTTCCCTTTTGTACATGGCGGCATGGAGCCTCCATGTTTGCTTAATTAGTGTGGGTTTATTAGTTGAACGTTGAGACATCACCTCAATGCACACACATGACACATACATATGGTGTGAACGGTGGCACACACCACACATCATGTATGTATACACTGAATTAGTTTCTCACCTGCAAGATATCGATGCACAAGATTCAAACTTCACAACATTTTGGATTTGTAGATATCCACAATGTGCTTAACCTTATCCATAATGATTACTCTCATCTCTCCGCATCCAAACTACTGTCGTAAACACCCAATGAGAAACATCAGAAGTGGACCATTGGCCCCAGATTTGGCTAAGAGCACAACGACACGACTCTTGCATTAGCTGCAGATCGACGCCGTGCATCATTGCATATACTCAATATCCAATCATCCATCACCACTAGAACTAGAATATTATATATATTTGCTAATCTGGTCCAGTTTAGGCATTGCTACTTGACAGCAGCCTCTGACGTGCTCACAATGTGCTCCAACGCACGCTCGGTTTATCCGAATCACGATTCACGCAGGCAACTTTCCATCCAACTCTGGCACCGGTCTTGCTAGCTCGTTTTATATATGCTCATAGGCCACACTTTCAGACTGAAAATCTCAATCTGTATGCAGCTACACTATATATATATATATATATATATCCTGCCTATGCTAATCTTTTGTAAAGCCTATATGCACGTATGTAGGTGCATGTCGAACTTCTTTGCTTGATGCATGCGCCATCATCTATTATCTCATTACAACAATATTAAAAGAAGCCGTCATTTTCATCAAGAGGGAAAACTGCAAAATTACGAGATTAATTGAAAAAATTATAAGAACCTATACCGTTAAATTTTATGTTGATCTAACGGTTTAGATTAAACAAAAGAATCCATGCCTTATACAATCATAAATAGGAAAAATCAAAATAATAAACTAAGAAAACTGCAAATTATACATTGTAATGATGTTGGCATAATTAGTAAAGGGCAAATCCAGATAAAAACTATGAAAAATTAGAGACGAATTAGGAATAAATAAACCTAAATAAACAGTTCATATAAATTATAATTAGTACAAATAGGTAAATTCAAAATTGAAAACTGCAATAATAGTAGTTTGATTTTCATATATATTCAAAAGAGCCCCTAAATAAAAAATTTATCATATTACTATAATATAATGATTTTTTTTAAAAGGTAATCTCTTTCACCCTATAAGCTTTAAAACTACCACATTAATCAGAGAAAAAGAAATATAATGGAACAATATATGATAATGGTCCTATAGATCTAGACTGTGCCTATCTATCTAGTACATAAAGTAGAAAAGGTAGCAATAAATGATTCAGTATGGATTAGGAAAATAGACAAAAGTGTACAACTCAATTCAGCATTACAAACTTGATTTTTCCATGGTAAAACAAAAAATAAATTATAGGAACATATATGGTGTTTTACACACATGCCGAGATCAGCTATTCAACTTAGAACTAATGTCTTGCATACCCATAAAAAATATCAAAGCACTTCTAATCCCTACACATCTTTCCTCACCGTGATCATCGCCTCACCAACCTAGCATGTTCTTTTGTTGTAGCTCTGAGCTCGGCAATTTGTTTTTTTTCCCGTGTTCTAGGTGGAAAGTATTGTTATCACCGTTGACATATCGACAAAGGGATAAATGACAAAACATGATGATTCCAAGATTATGCTTCAAATTCGACGGCTTTCATAGCGATAACCTAGGGGAGGAATAGGACGATCCAATGGGCAAGATTATGAAAAAAACATGAAAAACTTATCCTCTTTTGAGTTTACATGCAATCAGTTCATCAATTACCCAATGCACATGTGTGGTAAGCTCATGAGTAGAGAAACTGACATTGTCTTTTTTTTCGAAAGCGTGCATTGGCACGTGCTTCGTTAAGGAGAAATTGAAAACAAAGTACCGCCGGTGCTAGCCACGACGAGATGTCATAGATAGCGAACCGGAGGAACACTTACGTGAATCACCGGCTTCAACGGTGGCGCGTACTAACTGAGGAAACTAGCTGTGCGACTAAAGAAAGATAGAAAAGGGCAGACCACGGCCACTAGGTAGCTAAAACGATCAGGGACGCAAGGCCACGAAAGCCCGCGGCGATCCAAGCGTCTGCCTCCTCCAGAATGAGAGCGAACAGCTGAGACGGCGTCCTCGCGATGCTGTCAAATGTTCTCCGATTGCGTTCATTCCAGACCATCCAGGAGACGAGCAGCACAAGCGAGTCGAAGCTACGCTTGAAGGGCTTCGAAATGGTTGTTCTCGTGTTATGCCACCACTCCGACAGACAAGAGCCATCAGGCGGCACCAAGTGCTGCATCCTCACCCTTGACAGCAGTTTGTGCCAAACCTCACGAGTGAACACGCAGGAGGCCAACAAGTGGTCGGTGGTCTCGTCCTGCTAATCACAGAGCGCACAGACCGCTTCTTGCTGAAGGCTGAGAAGCTTGCGGCGCTCCGCTGTCCACAGGCGTCCATGGAGAGCAAGCCGAAACTAGAAGTTAGTCACAAGCAGAAACTAACGTGGTCATAGCATGGATGTCTCAGCAGTACGTGTGTAGGATGGTACTAGCTCACCGGAGTCAATGAAGTTCTAGAATTTGTTTGGGTTGACTTGAGGCACCGATGGATGTTAGTGCGATGACAGGATGGTCGACGGCTGTTTGAGGCAACAGTGGCTTAAGCAGATCGATATGAGCGGTGTAATTTTTATGATGAATCTGACAATGTTTTAGAGCAACAAAAGGCAACTATGGATCTGCAAGAGAAGGTACAAGATTGTAGAAAATTTAAATTTACAAGAGGGGCCAAGGAAATGAACAGTTACTAAGAAAAGTTGGATGTCATAGGGGTACAAAGTTCACCAAGAGCAAACTGAAGGCTACCTTGATTTGACATTGGAAGGAATTGCACAACCATAAGTTAGTTTGCATCTGTTGAATTAGTAATAGACTAATATGTTAACTCATATATCTTCTTCTGAAATCGAAGGATTTTTTGTCAGTGTAACTCAAACTCCCAGACAAAAGTATAATTAAAGAATTGCTATGTTCTCACAACAATATATAAATATTTATATTAAAATAAATGAAAAACGAATTTTCTATGTAACCTAATTTCCTCCGTTCACAAAAGTGTTACAAAGAAAGATGTAACATAAATAAGATGGTGAAAAAAAAGTATGGACAATGCCTTGCTTTGTATGCCTTATAATAAAAAAAATAAACAACAACTATTAGAAAAAAAATGTTAAGGTAGAAAAGAAACAAACGTTACAATGAGAAAAGCTGGCTATAAGCGCTCTTTTGTGCGGGCCATCTTGCTCGAGGAGCTTGAAATTATTCAGGTACTATGAAATATACACAACACTGAAAAAAATAGAAGACATGCAAAGTTCAGACAGAGAAACATAAGGCTAGCAAGCATCAAACAATTCAGTAACTCCTTGTGGAACAGAAATCATATATAGTCACATAGATATACCTATGGCCAAGGCTTACATTACATCAATCAGAAGACACCTTCAAAGAATTAATACTATGTTTTTGCATCCATTTAAAAATAAAACCATATACCTTACCTCCTGGTCCTGGAGGAATGCTAGCTATGCATGTATGCATCACGTACAAATCCTTAGTATATAGCTGCTCCTACTGGTCAATCGATGTCTTCAAGCGTGGTGGAGGAGAATCCCAGAGATGACGCGAAGGTGGCCGTGGTGTCGCCGCCGAGGTACCGCTTGAGCCGGTCCAGGTCGTCGGCTGCGTCCATCATGGTCGGCCGCGCGGACGCCTGCTCTTGGGTGCAGAGGATGCCGAGCTCCAGCAGCTCGCCGATGGCCACGTCCGACATCCTCCTCACCTCAGGCGTCTGGTCCCGGACCATGCGCACCAGTGCCTGGTCGACCACTGCGTCGGCGCGGCCGTGGTAGTGGGCCTTAACCCACTTGTGCAGGCTCAGTCCGGCGTCGAACATGTCGTCGGTCGGCTTCCTCCTCGTCACCATTTCCAGCACCAGCACGCCGAAGCTGTACACGTCGCCCTTTGTCGTCGGGTTCGAGCCGTAGCCGTACTCTTCATCAGTCCATCGAGAACCACTCAGGAACGATCAAACGGAGCGTGGAGTGATTGGGATGCCATTGGATGCCACGTATGTACGTACCTGGAGGGATGTACCCGATGGAGCCGCACAACATGTTCGCGGTGGAGGCGCCGACGTCGGCGGCGGTGTTTGCCACCCCGCCGATGCTCATGACGAGCCGGGAGATGCCGAAGTCGGAGACGAGCGCGTTCATGTCGTCGTTGATGAGGACGTTGCTCGGCTTGAGGTCGCAATGGATGACCTTGACCGGCGAGTGGTGGTGCAGGTACGCCATCCCCTCGGCGATGTCGCTGCATATGTTGACCCGCTGCACAAGGCTGAGCTCCGCCGGCGGCCCCGCGTAGAGGCACCGCTCGAGGCTGCCGTTCGCCATGAACGGCAGCACCAGCGCCTTGAAGTCCGGCAGGCTGCACGCCGTGACGATGCGCATGAGGTTCCGGTGCCGGATGCGCTTCAGGACCTGGCACTCGCGGTTGAAGCTCTTGGTCGAGTTCCCCGTCTGGAGCTGCAGCACCTTCACGGCGACCATGGTGCCGTCGCGCAGCGTGCCGCGGTATACCCGGCCGTAGCTGCCCGTCCCGACGAGCCGATCCTCGCTGAACTCCTCGGTGGCCTCGACCAGCTCCCTGTACGAGATCCGGGGGAACTTGTACTTCATCACCGGCGACGAGCCACCGCCTCGGCGACCCCTGAACATGTCCTCCCGCATTGCCGCGACCCGCTCACGGATCTTACGGACGCTGACGGCGCAGAGGATCGTCAGCGCGAACGCCAGAACCGCTGAGCAGACACACACGATGACTAAGAACTTCCGGGACTGGTACCACGAGCGGTGGCGCCCTCCGCAGCGCCGGAGCACCGGACCAGAGAGGCGACGGTTGCCGAGGTAGGAGAGACAGCTGAAATTCACGAAAGGGCCGGTGGTGGGGACGACGCCCGAGAAGTCGTTGTATGACAGGTTGAGATATTTCAGCATGTAGCAATTGGTCAGGCTAACGGGGATCTCACCGCTCAGGTGGTTGTTCGAGACGTCGAGGCTCTCGAGGTACTTCAGGTTGCCGAGCTTCGAAGGGAGGCCGCCGGCAAGCGAGTTGTGTGACAGGTCGAGCACCGTCAACGCAATGCAGTCCCCGAGGCCGGGCAATATCTCACCGTTGAAGTTGTTCCAGGACAGGTCGATCTTTTCCACTTGCTGCATGCTGCTGAGGCCAGTCGGCAGCTTGCCCCCAAGCTGATTGCGCGACAGGTTCAGTGTCATCTTGGCGATGCCGGCGATCTCGTCTGGTATCACCCCGGTCAAGCTGTTGCTGGAGAGGTCGATGACCAACAGACTGGTACACCGGCCGAGGCTCGGAGGTATGGCCCCAGACAGCTTGGTTCCCTGCAGGAAGAGATATCGGAGCTCGGCAAGGCTCCCGATGCTGCTGGGGATGGCCCCTGACAGCACGTTGCCCGACAGATCCAGCACGCCGAGGCTCGTGGCGCTGCCAATGCACGCTGGAATTTCGCCTGTCAGGGAGTTGTTGGACAGCGCGAGCCGCTCCAGGCTCTTCAGCCGGCAGAGGGACGTCGGGATCGTCCCGTTCAGCAAGTTGCTCGACAGGTTCATCCACGTCATGTTGATGGCGTCCCCGACAGACTCCGGGATTGGGCCCTCGATGGCGTTCAACTCCAGGTTGAGGTGCCAAATGTTGATCGGGAGCAGCGAGCCCAGCCGACTTGGCAGCTGCCCACCCATCCCCACGGCGGAGGCCTCCACCTCCTGTAAGCTCGTGCAGTTCGACAGCGCGACGAAGAATGGCTCCAAGTTGGTGTTGCCGTCGTGGCTCCGGAAGCTGTTGTTAGACAAATGCAGGTACATCAAGCCCTGCTTGCCCGCGATGATACTCGTAGGCAGCTCGTCGTGCAGCAAGTTGTCCTCCACATCTAGCGTCATCAGATCGGTGCAGTTGGCGATCCACCGTGGAAGCGTCCCTTGGAGCTTGTTGGAGTAGAGGTTGATGACGACAAACGAGCAGCCTTTGGTGCTCGAGATTGCGCGGGGGATCTCGCCAGAAAGACTATTATTGCCGACGTCGACGAGGCCCAACCCTGTGCAGTTCAGGAAGATAGCTGGTGGGATGTTCCCGGACATGTTGTTTTGCTGGAGTCCGAGATAGAGCAAGCCCGTCAGCTCGGAAAGGGAAGGTGGTATTCCTCCGTGGAGTTGGTTACTGCCGAGGTCAATGGCTAAAATGTTCCGGAGGTTAGAGAGCTCGGCTGGAATATGCCCCGTCAGATGGTTGACGGACATTTCGAGTTCCTTGAGGCTTGTTAGGTTGCAGACGGCCAGAGGTATTTCTCCAGAGATGATGTTGTCATGCACGTAGAAGTACTTAAGGAGAGTCAGGTTGCCGATGGACGGAGGGACGGTGCCGGAGATGCTGTTGCCGGAGACGTTAAGGCTTTGGAGTTGCCCAAATCTGCCGAGGTCCAGCGGAAGGGCACCGGAGAAGTGATTGTAGGAGAAGTCGAGTTGCCGGAGCCTCGTCCGGAGTGGTAAGAGGTTGCTGAAGATTGAAGGGATGCTGCCGGAGATACCGTTGTTGTTCATGAAGAGGCTCTCCAGTCGCGTGAGGTTGCCGACGGACGTCGGCACCTGGCCAGAGATGCTGTTGTTGGACACGTCGAGGATCCGGAGGTGCGAGAGCTCGCCAATAACCGGTGGAATAGCGCCACGGATGCCCATGTTGGCGAGAGAGAGCCCAACAACGTGCTCCCGCCGCCAGTCGCACCTGACGCCGGTGAAGCCGCAGACGTTGCCGTTGGACTCGTTCCAGTCCGCCAAGGCCGCCGCTGCCGACGACGGCAGCGTGAGCCCCTGCTTCAGGGCCAGCAGAGACGCCTTCTCCTGCAGCAGGATCTGTCGCTGCCGGCCCCGCATGTCGGCGGCCTTCCTGGCCGCCGACGTCGACGCGGCGAGGAAGAGGACGACGAGGATTAGCAGGAGGAGAATGGCCGTGCGGACCCTCATCCTCTCCTCGTCGGATGGCACTAGTAAAACACCGGGGGATGATGGCGGTAATCAGACCTATTAGCTAGCTAGATTGCACCTAAGCTACTACTACATGGCAGTGGCATCTGTCATCGGCCGCTAGCTCGATCGAGATCAATCGACCTTGATATGAAACGACCAAAGTGAGCTGCACCGCACCTGCTGGAGAGTGGAGAGAGTGAAGCATTGAAGCTGCTGCAGGTCTGCCTTCCGTGGGTTGGAACGGCCTAATGGAGACCGCAGGCGTCGTCCGGGATGGCATGATTGCGCGGCGCACGACGCACGGCTTTTCAACCCGGTTTGTGCATGATGAGTGGGTTGGGGCGCGCACGAGCCACTGAGCGGCCAGTCGCGGGCACGGCGGGGAGCATGCGTGCGCGGGCGCGCCAGGGGACAGCGACGGTGGCGAAAGTGACGGGTGTGGCAGCGGCGGTGGGCTCCGGCGAGCACAGTGCAGGAGATTGTGGGAAGGATGACGACAGGGCCCTGCACTTCATTTCAGGTTTGCTGCCGCACTCAGCCCGAGCGCCAGTAGGTCAGTGCATGCACCGCCTCAAGTGGCCTAGGCAACAGAATATGTTTCCCTCCAAGCATTTCAGCTTCTTCTTAGACGCTATTAGGATAATAAATAAGTCATGAAAAGCTGGAAGAAAAACTATCCCAATCTTTGAAACACCAAATAAATAAGTCATGAAAAGCTGGAAGAAAAATCATGGATGTGCAGTATGCTAGCATCAAGCATCCAAACAGATTCCAATTCCAATTCAAACAGTGACTTTTTACAGGAGAAAAAAAAAAAAGATAACTTTTCAGGGAACCAGGAAAGGATAGTAACGAGCATTCCAATTTGTATTTTCGATTTCTCTTGTATATTCAGAGTTTGAGTTGAAAATTTAGTAGGATGCTACATGATATCACATTCTATACACCAATGTGTTGAGAAAATTTTCATGCCTATTTGCATGGTATTTTTAAGGCTGAGAGGTGAGGGCTACATATTTTCTTGGGGTAACCCAAACTAATAAGCTGACCTTCTGAAACTACTGGCAAGCACGGACTATCTATTCTGCCGTACCCCCTTAACCACCCATAATCAATTCCAGACTGTATTGATACTGGGTACATGTCTTGCCAGAGTCAGCTGAACCAAACATCCAAATCATACCTTAAAAGTGACCATAGCCTATAGGTTCAGAAACATAGCAACACAGAGAACTTCAGAAGGAATGAGCGAGATTTCCCCTCCTGATGTTCCTCTTGAAGATTTTTTTTCTCAATCACGCAGGAGAGCTACGTATCATTATATTAAGAAGAATGAAGATTTCTCAACATCCAAACTTGACTGTTAACTAGTGGCTAGCCAAGGTGACGTTGCCTAAAGTTTAGCCTAGTTATCTGAACCAAACATCATAACTGCATCCTCAAAAGTTCACAGGCCATCAGTCAGCATTCCCCTCTAGGGATAGGGACCAAAAATAGAGGAATGCCAGATTTGGTCCTTGGTGTTAGGCTGTTAGCTATCCTATTTTTCACAGGGTAGTCTATTATGTCATTTCTGAAAGGAATAACACCCATGTGATATTTGCATGCAACCAACAAGTTGGAAAGCAAAAAAGTACAGCCTAGATAGTTTTTAGAGGGTAGATAGTCAGACTATCTGAAAAATATCTTAACAGAGGGTTAGAATGTTCAGAGTTTGGGAATTTTGCAAAAGAGAACTGGGAAGAACAAGGCTACCAGAGAATGCAGGCAAAGTTCTGCTCAGTCATAGATATGCTGCAGTCATCTGACTTAATGGTCAGCCAATATCAGGGGAAGATCATCGATATCCCTGTTGCCATCAGAGATATTCCAGGGTATGGTCCCATGCTCCCATCTTATTGTGCCCAACATGCACACCCACCAGACGGTAACCCAGCATTCACTAGACAAACATGATTCACATATAAGCTTTTAGATGGTTTGGTCCACGCCTCAGCTAATAAATATCAGCCTACTTATATTGCTATGCACGAATTAGTGGGCCACAAAGCTCAACCTATGGCACGTTATTTATGCCTAGGTGACCAAGAAATGTCAAAGAATGATTAACACTTTGCGGAGCAGAACTGTGGCTAGAAAGATCAGCCTATACATCTAAATGATTCATTGTTAAATGGTTTATAGTATAGGTACATCATGCCTTCCCTTTTTACCAAATCTAGTGGGATATTTGTGGTGTCCATTTTGTCCTCTGATGTTTGTCACTTAAAAACATGCTTAGTTAGCAGATTTATGGCACTATTCCACCTTGGCAGATCCGCCGGTTGCTAAGCAGATCACACGCGCTATTTCTATTCAGAGTTTCACCACATTCCCATGAACAGCAGCAGGACAAATTAAAGATACTAGTAGTTTATACACTAGTTTCTAAGTTAATTTTATGTGTTCTTTGTTAACAAAAATAGGCACAGTTCCGGCATATTTGTTTAAAAGAAAGTTTAGGTATGTGGAAGTGAACAGATAAAGCAGAGTCTGACCCTCCTAGTTCTCCAATGGTTTCTGACACGTGTTCTGTGTAATTAGGCAAAGTAGAGTATAGCTTCTAGTACTAAAATTGTGCGAGAGCAAAGCCTATTCAGCTTCATCAGACTCATACCTTTACACCATTCGAGACAACCCTATGGCTATGAGTTCGAGCGATGCCTACGGATAGCGCTCAATTGCCCAAGTGGGATGCTATCTCTCTGAAGCATCTACTAGTTAAATGCCTAATTAGTGATACATCTACAAGACGAACTGGCAGATGATAGTTCTGACCTTTACGATGGAAGTGATCCATAGGCCATAGCCGTCGGCATGTAACCGTGTGCCAATTCTGTGCCATCCACTTTAGAGAGAGAAGTCCCCTCAAAAAAACTTTAGAGAGAGAAGATCGCCTTTTCTTTCTTCTGCTAAGGTCATAAGGAATACAACGTGGTCATAGAAGGTCATTCACAGGCAAAACAATGATGAAAAGACCCATGGATCCCAAAACAAAAGACTGCGGAGAGGTCAAAGGGATGGTCTCGTTGGCAGCATACCTGCACATGAGAAAATTGCTGCTCCTGCACGCCCATGGAGCTGCGTGTCCCTTATTCTTGTCGAATTGCCTAGCTCAAACCATGAGTCAAGCAGAAGTGCAGTTTTAGTGCTGGAATTCGGCTCCCCTACTGCCAATCCTCTCGGTCCCCGCTAGCCACTGTGGTTCCTAGAGTTACGTGGTGTACGATGAGGGGGGGCGCTGCTGGTATGGCAGGCCGTCCTGCGCACTTGCTCGAGCAGCTGGCGGGCTTGGCTTCCCTCCGCAGCAGAGAATGGCTCGACGGAGACGTAGCCTTCAATAGTTGAAAGTTGAAACACGCCGCGGTGGGTCGTGGTGTAAGGGTAGCGCTGGCAGTGACCGGCCGATCACGGTGGCAGACGTGGACGCGTGGCTCAGACATGCCACCCTGCGCTTGCGGCTGCCATCTCGCGCGTTGGTGCTGCGGCCGAGTTGGGGCTGCTGAATTTGGGACTCCGGTTTCTCAGCACGCTACAACTACAACGCGAATTCGCGATGCAGGCAGGGTGAGAGGCGCAGGTGGGCCGGAGACGAAGCAAAGGCGGCGGGAGTGACAGAAGGGACGGCTGGAAAGTGAGTGAATACTGAAAGGACCAAGGACCGACGCCAATCCGCTTGAGTTCGGGGGCCCAAGAGCCCAAGAGGAACCACATGGTCGCCGGAGCAAGTTGATGGGCTTTGACGTTTTCCCCCTGTAATGGCTGTGCCCGTGTAGGATTATCAGGCTCGTAGCGCTACGCCACTAGGCCCAAACCATACAGATTTGATTTATAGATTTTTACGTATTCTCCGCTCCATCCATTTCAAATTAAGGTGGTGTTTAAATCAAGTGGGTTAAGTTTTGGGCCATCACATCGGGTGTCATATAGGGATGTCGCATGAGGTGTTCGGATACTAATAAAAAATAAATTACAGAATCCGTCAGTAATCCGCGAGACGAATTTATTAAGCCTAATTAATCTGTCATTAGCATATGTTATTGTAGCACCATATTGTCAAATCGTGGACTAATTAGGCTTAAAAAATACATCTCGCAAAGTAGTTGCAATCTGTACAATTAGTTATTTTTTAGTCTACATTTAATACTCCATGCATATGTCCAAACATCCGATATGATAGGGGGTAAATTTTAGGGAGATGTACGGCATCGATTTTGCTTTAAGATAGAAGCTCGGCCGGCGGCGACCTTCCGTGCGACATATGCCATTCGGCACTTTTTTGCCTTTGTTTCTCTGACGACCGAGCAAGCGTGTAAAAGAATGATGGAAGGCAAGGCAAAAGGCAAGCCAACGTCGTGGCGCAAGAAATGGACCAGCGTCAACGGGACGGTAGACGGGCTCCTGAGACCCTCGTCAGCAAGGGCTGCATGCCTGACTTGCGAATGCAGAAACCATAAGTGACGCTGAAGCGAGCTCAGACGAACGGCGAGCAGCAAGCCAACCGCATGGGCCCCGCCTGGAGTAGTGGCGGCTCCCAGAGTAATCTGGTGGATGAAGGGGCGGTGCCGTTGTGAGCATGGCCGTACTGCGCATTTGCGCGACATGCCATGTGTGGGATCGCCCGCGCAGCGTGAAGGAGGCCAGCCTTGAAACTTGAAACCGCCACGGTGGCCGGTGGGTAGCGCGTTGAGGCTAGCACTAGAAGCGCACTAGCAGCGACTGGCCGACCAATGGCGGCCGGTGTGGCACCCATGCGCTCACGGCTGCCATCTCGCATTCTCGCGTGCCACAGCGTTGGCACTGCGGCGAGCGACCGATCAGAAGGCGAGCGATAGTGGCGGGGGCGGACTGCGGAGGGCGGGGACGACGCTGTGAGCAAGTAGGCGCTGAGCCAGGCAAAGTCAGCCGGAGTGACGAGGATGCCGGTTGAGCTCGAGAAGGGCCTCATCCTCAGTGCG